CTACGGCAGTGTAGTAGGATTTTAAATCAGGGAGTGAGATACCTCCTACCGTTCTTCTATTCTTAAGGAGTGCTTTGCTTATTCGGGGCTCTTTCGGAACAGAGAAAATTATGTTGAGGAGAAATTAAAATGGAATAAGTGAAAGAACAAACAAAAGAGAAAAATTAAGAAGAAAATATGAGCATAGAAAAGGATGAGTGTGTGAGCAAATGTAAGTAATGTGTTATGTAGGAAGCTCTGATAGCTTAGTGGTAAGGAGTTGTGCTGTTAATCCAAAGACACATGGTTCAAATCTACCAAATGCTCCAAGAAAGAAAGAAAGACTGGCAATCTCTTCTTGTGTAGTTTACTGCCTCTGAAAACCCAGTGGAGGGTCAGCTATGAGTCAATTCCAACTCAGTAGTGCAGAACAAATCGTTTTATGTAGTTTAAAATAAATGTAGAACTGAAACATCTGAAAGGAATAGTTTCCAATATTCTAGGAAGGAGACCTGATGGTTCAGTGGTTAAGTGCTTGACTGGTAACTGAAAGATCAGCAGTTTGATCCCATTAGGAGCTCAGTAGGAGGAAGATGTGGCATTCTGCTTCAGTGAAGACAGTATATTTGGAAATCCTACAGTGCTACCTGTCCTATAGGATCATTGTGAATTTGAATCAACTTGATAGCATTTTATATATATTCTAGGCAAAGTTGTGAGACACAATAATCAAGTGTTCAACTCCTAACCAAAAGATCAGTGGTTCAAACTTACCAACAGCTGCAAGAGAGAAGACGTGATCTCTCCTCATGTACATTTCAACCGAGGAAACTTCTAGGCCAGTTCTATAGTTTTCTATAGGGTCATTTTGAGTCAATATGCAATGGCAATAATATTCCAGGCATGTCAAAGTGTTAAAAGTAATATTTTTATTATTTTTTATGATATCGTTTGTCATCTCTATAGTAATCACTAGAAGAATAGTAAAGGAATGTAAAACTAATATTTTAATGTTGTTGTTGTTGTTAAGTGCTGTTGAGTCTCAGGTGACTCATAGCAACCCTATGAAGGAGAGTCCTCGACGCTTGGGTGCCTTTTATCCTCTCTCCAGGTTCATAGGGTTTCCAGAGGCAAGCTATTATGGAAGTGGATGCCACTCCTCCTTCCAAAATATTTTAATAGAGGAATAAAATAAAATGATTATTGACTTATCTGAAATAAAGCAACAAAGGAGATAAAAAACAAACAAAACAGTCAAAAAGAGGGAAGAAATGGTAAGATGATAGACACAAGTCCACCTATATCAGCAATTACATTAAATATTGACTAAATAATTGAAGTTAAAAGGCTATCCTTTTCTAACCAATTTTAAGGAGAGAACAATTATAGTTCATTTGCATTATTTGTAAGAGGTATGAAAAGATGATTCCTGAGAAGGAAATACATACAGATATTAAAGATTTGAAAACTTATTGAACTTTATGTGACCATTTAAAAGATGCATATTACAACAATCATTAGTAATTTTAAGCCATTGTTGTTGTTATGGGCCATTGAGTCAACAACAACCCATAAAGAGCCTATGAACAACAGATTAAACTTTGTCCTATCCTGCAGCAATTCTCACAGTCTCCATCATGTTCAAGGCCATTGTTGTAGTCACTGGATCAATCCATTGACGGTCTTCCTCTCTTTTGATGACCCTCTACATTTCCTGGCATGATATTTTGTTCCAAGGACTGGTCCATCCTGAGAACATACCCAAAGTATATGAGTCTAAGTTTCACCATCCTGGCCTCTAAGGTGCACCCTGGTTGCACTCCTCCTAGACAGATTTGTTTATTTTTTTGGCAGACTACTGGATATTCAATACTCTTTGTCAACAACACAATTAAGAGGCATAGATTCTTCTTCAGTCTTCTTTATTCATGAACAAGGAAATTAATCTATTATGTTGTAAAAAAATGATTGTTGTTTGCTATTAAGTCAGAACTGACTCAGCTGACCCTCCAACAGGTTTTCAGAGGCTATAAATCACATGCCAGAGATTGCCCATCTTATCCCCATGGAGCCACTTGTGGATTTGAACTGGCTGTCAGTAGACCACCAGAGCTCACCGTCAGAATAACAAAATAGTGCAAAATTTGAGGAAGATAAAGGAAAAATATATATTAACTTTTTGTTTATTCAACTAAGAAATTCTATCAACATAAATTCATGTTTCAATGATTGCATAGCTATGCTTGCATAATAACAAAAAAAGATCAATGCAGAGTATCTCTTAATGTATTTGAATGTAGTCATAGAAAATCTAGAAGCAATCTAAATTCCATTTAAAAGAGAATGGTTAAACATGGTTTACTCATGTAATAGAACCCAAGGCAGTCACGGAGATGAGTAAGTGTAAGTTCTTAGCTATTTTACACTTAAGATAGACTGCTGTGTAGTGTATAAACAAAAGAACGAATGACAGAACAACAGGCTTTATTATATGTTATATATAAACAGATTCATATTAACACAAAACATATTTAAATGTATTTCTATATTAATAAAAAGACTATGAGGGTAAGCATTAAATTATCTTTTTTTTTTAAGCACCAAATTCTTAACAGTGGTTAAGAAGTGATCCTGAGGAATCAGATTCTTAGAGGGTGACAATAAAGAGGCACAGATTTTTAATTTAATTTTCCACTTATTAAAATTTGTTTTGTTTTTATTCTTAGGAAAATAATTTCTTTAATAAAAACTTAGACTCAATGGCCATTATGGGGAAAAAATGAAGATAAATCCCAAAAGAAATATAAGCTCCCCATAGGTAAAAATCCTATAAGATTGCATCGTTGGCAGGATACCAGAAATCAGTGTTTTAAATTATACTGCTCTAGGTTTGGGATCCATGTACATATGGGATCCTTATATGACAGCAAGTGAGAGAAGACCTTTTTAACAGGAAGCCTGGCAGGACAATGAGCTAATACTTGGTACCAGATGTATAGTTTTCCACATCTCGGTTTGGGGTGAATATCTTTGAGTGTATTTGGGGGAACCCAAACAGAAATAAAAGTCCTTTGTGTAGGACCATGAGTGATCCAGGATGCAGAACTTTTTTGCCTCAAATCCTGTTAGAATGAAAAGGGTAGTTGGGATCAAATGGTAACTCGCCAAGGTTCAAGTACTCTATCAGAACCAGTAAACCTATTATCAGGTACAGCCTCTTTGTTGGAAGAAGTCTTTAACAAAAGTCATCTTTCTTGAAAAGCAAAGAAGTACAGGGATCTCATGCTCAGATTCTTACCTTTTGGATATAGTCCTCACGTAAGGGCTCGCTTTCCTGTGAGCACCCGCCACAGTGCACCCTGCACATCAGGGTTCCTGAGGCTATAGATGAGTGGGTTCAGCATGGGGCTAATTACAGTGTTGAGGATGCCAATCCCCTTGTCTTTGTCTGAAGCCTCCACTGACCCGAGCCTCATGTAGCTGAAGACGCCTGTCCCGTAGAAGATGCCCACTACAGTAAGGTGAGATCCACATGTGGAGAAAGCCTTCTTTCTGCCTTCAGCAGAACGTATTCGCAACACAGCAGCTGCCACGTGGATGTAAGAAGTGACAATGAGAATTACAGGTGCACCTGCCATAAGGATACCCAGACCAAATAGCAACAGCTCGTTGAGTTGGGTGCTAGAGCAGGAGAGCTGAAACAGTTGTGGGAGGTCACAGTAGAAGTGATTGATGACATTGGGGCCACAGAAGTTGAGTGTGGATATGGCCACAGTGTGTGTCAGTGCATTGGTGAAAGCGCAAGCCCAAGACACAGCAACCAGTGTTCTCTGAACTGCCTGGCTCATGCGGGTGCTATAGGTAAGAGGTCTGCAGATGGCTAGGAAGCGGTCATAGGCCATGGCGGTCAACAGGAAACAGTCTACACCAGCCAACTGATGGAAGAAGAAGAGCTGTGTAAGGCAGGCTCCATAGCGGACCTCATGTTTGTGGGTCAGGAGACGACTCAACATTGAGGGAACAGTGACAGTGATGCAGCCAACATCCAGCACTGACAGGTTCCCCAGGAAGAAGTACATGGGAGTGTGGAGTTTGGGTTCAGCCAAGATGGCTGCCAGGATGCTCAGGTTGCCTCCAACTGTGACCATGTAGGCAAACAGGAAAAGTACAAAGACAAGGGGTTTCAACCCTGGTGTTTCTACCAATCCCAACAAAATGAATTCAGTAACGGCTGTTCCATTGACCCATGTATCTGCTTCCATGAATTCCTGTAAGAAGATGTGCCAGAGTGAAAAAAAAAAACATACACAAAAAACCAAGTTTTACCAATTCAGTTACTCAATAAAAATAGACAGTAAATCATGATATAATATCCATTGTAATATATCGCTTATTTATTGACTACTGCTTCTGTGGTTGTAGATTATAGATTCATCAGTGTAGTTGCAATCCATTAAATCATTAAATCCTTCCCAATTCCTCTCACTTTGCCATTGATCTTTCCTGTACCTTCTTGCTTGGGGGGAAATGCTGCCCTTTTGAACTAGTATGGTTGATTTTTCTGAAATGTATGTTCATCATGAATTTTGTTTATTTTATCGGTCTGTCTACTGTTTGACTGGGGTACTGGGGTAGGTGTGTCAAAGACAACAAGGTTGGCTCAAAATAGAGCAGGATTCAGAGCTGTTGCACATAGGGTCACTCAGAGTTTCAAGCGACTCAACGGCATATACCAATAACAGCATCAACAAGAACTGTTTGACTGAAAGTTGATCCCAAAGGGCAGGTTCAGTTCCAGGTTTGAAGAGTGTCTTAGAGATACAGTCTCCTGGGTTGCCTCAGTCTCTGTAAATCTGGTTTTTTAAAATTATTTCCCCCACTCTGTCCAGGACTTTTGGTTGTGATCCTACCAGAGCAGTGGCAATGGTAGCCACCACTATCTAGTTCTTCTGATCTACCATTAGTGACAACTGTGGCTCAGTTCTTTGGACTAATTCTGTCCTTGAGTTTATTATCTTCATTCTTCTTTGTTCTGGGTTGAGGCAACCCCTAGCTGCTTATAGGCTTTTAAGAACTCAGTTATTACCATGGTAGGATGTAGAGTATTGTCTGAGTGGACTATGTTATGCCAATTCATCCAAATGTCCCCAATATGGTCCTAATCCCCAAAGTCCAGGGGCACAGTCTCTCAAAATTTCGGTATGGCTACGAAGTTTTAGTAACTTTGTCACTTGTGTGTTCCACTATATGTGGGCAGTTTTGCAGCCCATACAAATATGTATGTAGAATTATTCTCTGTCAAACCTATATATACACTCATGAATGTGCTCCCATTCACCATCCTCACCTGTTCAGCTTGCATTTATACCTAAGGTTATTATTGCATAGGTTATTATTTGTTATTATTGTTATTACAGGGTTGTATGTGCAATGATATTTATCATTATTTCCTTTTACTCTTGTGCCTCTCCCACTGTCTTCTTTGTCCTAATTATACTGTGCTGCTGCTGTTGTTGTTATGTGCCGTCAAGTTGCCTGTGACCCATAGTGATCCTACGTACATTAACTCTGAACCCTGCCCTATCCTGAGTCAATCCCATCATCTCTGATGGACCTAATCCCCTTTCTCCAGTCACTGAGTCAATCCATCTCATCCTGAGTCTTCCTTTCCTCCACTGTCCCTCCGTCCTTCCAAGCACGATCTCATTCTCCAGGGACTGGTCCCTCCTGGCCATATGTCCAAAGTACATGAGAAACCTTGCCTCCAGGGAGCAGCTTGATTTCACCCTCTCCAGGACAGACCTCCTGGCAGTCTGTGGTATGTTCTCCAGCACCACAACTTAAAGGCATCAATCCTTCTTCTATCATCCCTAGTCATTGTCCAGTTTTCTAGTGTATATCAAGTAATTGCGAAGACCATAGCCTCTATCAGGTACACTTTAGTTGCCAGACTGACATAGTTGCTTTTCATTACTCTAGAGAGGCCCCTGACAGCATGCTTTCTCAATGCAATTTGTCTTTTGATTTTCTGACTGCTGATGTCCTACTGTGCTGTTGTTGTTATGTGCCACTGAGTCACTTGCGACTCATAGCAATCTTGTGTACAACAGCCCTGAAACCTGCTCTATCCTGTGCCAACTTTATTGTCTCCAACACACCTACCCTCATTACCCTCGTCACTATATCAGTCCATCTCATCGATAGTCTCCCTCTCTTTCTCCATCCCTCCATCCTTCCCAGCATGATGTCCCTTTCCAAGGACTGGCCTCTCCTTGCCTCCAAGGAGCAGGCTGGCTTCACCCTCTCCAGGAAAGCCTATTGTTCTCCTAGTGAGGGACTCCATTTTGTAACCAATATGTCATTTTAAAATGTATAAGCCTCTAGAGCAGTAAACTGAAAGCGGTGGGGGGAGGGGGGAAAGAGCCCCCACCCAAACATCAGCCAATACTGTATCACCCTGTTTTCGCGCCCTTCCTTTGAACCAGCCAATCCTGTATCGCCCTGTTTTCGTGGGCTTTCCCCTTTAAATAGGCGGGACAGCCCAGAATCGGGGCCATGGCCATCTTCCCTGTTGTATGAACACGGTTTGGATCGTGGCCCGGATTCGAATCTGAAATAAATTCCCTCTTGCCCTTGCATCGGTGTCGGCTCCTTGGTGACTTGGGGGGAAACTGGATTTGGGGCACAACACTAGCAGTCCATGGAATATTCAAAACTCTTCTCTAGCACCACAGCTCAAAGGCATCAATTCTCTTTCTATTATCCTTAGTCATTGTCCAGCTCTCTGATACATAGCAAGTAATTACTGAGCTAACCTCCTTATTGTCTGTTACCTTTCCCTTCATTCAAGTTAATACATACTTACTCTTTAGTTAGTAATTTTTCTGACCCATTTTAAGACAAGTTAAATGGTCTCATACTGTTTTGTTTCAGACCTCGTTATCTTTACTCAAGTTGTTTATTTTATCTGGAATGTCCTTCTTCTAGTTCTAATTTGCAAATCCTTTATGACTCAAGTCAATAGGTCTTTCCCAATAACCTCCTATAGCAGTTATATATTTAATGGAATTTATCCCTGTTGTTAGTATACTCTTGCTCAGTCATATGCATTTTATTGTGGTTCTCTTCCCCTTCTAAGTGGCCTATGGATATATTGTTTCTTTAATTCAGTTTGGTATTCTCTGTGCCTTCACTGAGAATGAAAAAAACTTGAATGCATAACTTTTTTTGTGTTTATTTTTTCTGAAATGAATGAATGAATGAGATGTATAAATGAAGATCATAAAGTTAACAAAAAATGTCAGTGCTAAAGGGTCATCGGATAGATTGGGCTGGACTAGTTAGAAAGAGTGTTTCTGGATAAGCTGGAATTTATGCAAGACAATCAAAGATTAATATGATTTGAAAGAGGCTTGAGTTGAGGTAAAAGGCATAGAATTACTGCAGCTGGAACCCCTTTCGTTTTCTGGCATTCATGATGGTATTTATCATGATGAAGTATTCATGAAGACTCATTAAGAAGCAGTTAAGACAGTAGTTAAAATAATCCATTCACAAATGTCTATTCATAAAAACAGTTTCCATAAAATCTGACAATAAGAGAAGTAAAGGCAATAAATAAATAAATTTGTTAGCTAGAAAGAGTCCACCTTGCTAACCCAAATAGAAATGTCACAGACATTTCGTATCATTCGTGATAATAAAACTTGCCTCTCAAGGCCAGTGTTCTAGGATGCACAGTGGCCTATATATCCAAGAAGTCCATCTTTAACAAGATGACCATAGTGACATGATTGAAAGGGTCCTCCTAGACTACCAGTCTGTGGTATTTGGAATGTGTCCCAGGTTGTCTTCACTGAAATTCACAGCTCCCTGCTCTGATGCTCCTTCTAAAGTCTTCATACATCTGATGACAAAGACTCAATCAGGCTCTCAGATATAGGGGTCCAGTCAAGAATGCCCCCTGAGGTCCAGGCAGGAAGGCTTATATCTGTGAATATCTTTATACTCATTCCAATAGAAAAAGAAAAATAGCTTCATTCAAGAAGAAGGATGTTGGCACAGGAGACAGGCTCTCTGTGATAGGTTCCAGCTTCCTCCCTCACTTGGCATGGTTCTCTGAGCAAGACTATTTTTCCTTACTGAACAAGGAGGCTTAATTTGTCTGGTAATAACTGAAGTGCTTTATCCCTTATTAATAAATAGAAGGGAGACTCTACAAGGTACTCACCTCGTTATGGGAATAGAGAACAGCAAGTTTTCAGGTGCAGAGAGGTAGAGGGTGAAGCACTATGCGGGCCCTAGCCCCAGAGAGGAGGAAGGGACCATATATAAGAAAATGAATGAAGGAGAAATGAGATCATCTCTGTCATGGGACATCATTCCACAGGGACCTCAGAAATTAGCTAGGAGGGCTGGGAGTTTTGGGAGCCATCGACCAATAAATAACCCAAACCTTTAATGAAGTATTAATGAAGCTTCTTGTGTTGCTTTAGATTTTCTAAAAAAAAACAAAAAAAAAACCCCTCACCTTCAATTCCTTACTCCACCCCTCACATTGATTCATGGAAATGATTAGGATTTCATTTATTAATGAAATTTATTACATGCAGAAAGAAAAATTGAGGTCTGTCTACCTTCCCAAAGTCACTTATGGAATGGAATAGCACTGGGACTAAATCATACTGTCCAGAAAAGGCATTTTGCTTTCCCGGTTGCTTGGTCCATACAGAAACTCTGAGCAGAGAGAAGCCAAATTCAAGGCTTGTCTTGACCTGGAGATTAGCAAAAGTTTCAAGAAAGGAAGCAAATGGGAGAAGTTTTCTCTTAATTTCTCCTAATGAGTCCTCAGGAATGTATGTTTTTACTTTAAGGGCTTTGTTAATGAAAACCACTGGAATTGCAAATTGGGCTCCCATAATGTCTCAAAAATTGGTGGTAGAAGAGCTGAGCTGTACTAGAAGGAACCATGGAAACACTAGGGAAGTCAACCCCATCTTTTTCTCTGGGCCTGAATTTAAATGCTAAAGGTCCTAAGTGATTGAATTAATGAACAAAAATGTGGAGAAATGGTCTGGCCATCTATATTAGTGTCTGTCTGTTCACCTGTTCATCATAATAGGGGCTTTACATTTCCTTACCTTAACCCACCAACTCTATATTCTTTCAAGAGCCAACTGGTGCTATATGAAAAACATAGACCTGGTATTGTTGTTGTTAGATGCTGTCAAGTTGATGACAATTCATAGTGATCCTATGGATG